TGACCTCCCACACTTACACCTGATTAAACATATTTGTGTATCATATCATTTTTGGGTCATATTTATGCAGAATTATTGAAAATTCAAAAGGACTCACAAACCTTTAAGCACCACTGTAAGGAAAGATTTGCTGATGGAAAGATCTATGGTTTCTTCACCTTTGGAGGTTTTAAGTGGAGGCTGGGCAGCCAACTCCTGAGCAGAGTTTAACTGCTTTAGCTGCACACTGCAAATGATTGAACTAAATAATCCTGGGGTCACTTCCAACTTCACAACTCAGTGATTCTAAGTAGGTCTACTAGATCTGGGCAGCAACAATGCAGATGGCCATTAGATGGTAGTAAAGAGTCAGAATTGCCTATATCTCTTTGCTGCCATCTACAAGCTCTTCAAGAGTTTTGCTGCCCAGATTTGGTAACCCTACTTCAAGGAATGCTATGCTTATACAAACATCTATATTTTATAGCTATAAATCCAATTCATTTATTAAGAAAACAGAGAATATTGTTTGTTTGAATTTCTGTGGTCTCTTAGGTTCTTTTTATTCAAAACTTTTGATCCTAATGCTGTTTTTCCAATAGTATATTTATTGGTTAACAGTAATAAGAATAAAAATAGTTTTCACCTTACCAACTGTATTTGTTTGCCCATTTTCTGCAGCCATCATTAGAGGTGTCTTCCCAGAAGAATCTATAGAGTTTACTTGTGCATTATGGCTTAGCAGAAGCTGTAAGCACTCTACATGGTCTGTAAAGGCTGCTGCATGGAGGGGAGTTCTAAGAAGGGAAAAAAACACATGTTTGATAGTACCAACAATGGATGCAGCCCTAATATAGCCATGATTTTATACAGAAGGAGAGCCTATATTAACAAACCTTTAAAAATACTTAAAAGTTTAATTTGGATCTGAAAGAACATAAAGACAAGGAAAAACTGAGCCAATTACAAAATGTTGATCCAGAAAGATACCGTAATTGATGGTACTGAAAGTTATTGAGAGATCAAGAAGCACGAGGATGAATGCACCACCCTCATCCTGGTTCTCTCACAAGTCATTAACAAGCACAACCAATGTGTTCTCTGTACAACATCCTGGTCTGAGGCCTGACTGAAACAGGCACAGATAATCCATTTCTTCCAAGACCCTAACTGCACCTTCTCTACAACTTCCCAGCAAAGTGAAGACTGGAAACTGGCTAATAGTTGTCTAAAATGGAAGGATCCAGAACATATCCTCTTCTAAGATACTTTTTTCTTTTCTTCAGCTTTTTCTCTTGCTCCTGCCCCTCATTGAGGCAATCACAATGGTATTTTACTTTCAGCACTTCTTTATTTTTGTACCTCTAGAAACACTGGGATTTTTCTAAGCCTATCACATCTGTTGTCTTCTGGATGCAAATCATACAGTTTTTACTGACAGAATCTGAAGTTTGGAATTTTTTTAGCTAGAAGCAGTTCCTTTTCTGGTTACTGAAACTCAAGGCAAAGAGCAATCTTTGTTATACATTAGAACCACAATTATATCTCTTTTGCTATGGTTTCATTTTATTTATACTAATATTAGTTTTAAGATACAAAGAATATCAGAATTAAGTATTTTAAAATATTTAGAATTTTTCTTCAGTACAGTATTTCCAACTTTACCTTGCCTTTGCATCTGTAGAATTTACAATTCCAGATCCCAGTGTATCAATTAGCATTTCAGCAGCACCCTCATTATCATTTATCCTATCAAAGAATTTTAAAAGGAATTAGTTCTACAACAACTAAGTTTGTTAAAAGATATAATGAAGTATTTTGGGGTCACATAGAAATTGCTTACACTGCACAATGCAATGGACTGAAAGAATTTCCTTCCATTTTCTGGAAAACTTCCTGCTCCAAAAGAAGTTCCACACAACTGTCATGACCTAAAAGTTTTTAAATGTCAGAGAGTAAACACAACAATGCAATTCAGAATTTTTTATTACTAAGGAGCATATATACATATAACCCACTGTAATGTTATATATATATTGAGATGGTCAACAGCAATAATTATGGGGTGAAATCAAGATGGAGTGGGGTTGTACATGTGTAGCTTTTGATATCCCTTTAGTTTTTTTCTTATATATACTTAAAAATCTGTTTAACCATGGCAATTGGTTGTTTCTTTATATATTCATTGAATATATGTTCTGTGACCAATCAATTTAAAATATTTTAAGGAGATTTCATATATACATATCAACATAGCAGGAGCCTGGAGACATACAAATGCTTTTGACAAGAATCCTTTGATATTCCTGTTGTATTTTAAGATTTCATTTCTTTTCTGCCATTCTCCCTCAAAAACAATAGTTCTTTTCTTACCATTGTAACATGCCCAGTGCAATGATGTATATCCATGATTGTCTGTCAAAGCAGGTATCACATCCCCAGATGCCACTGACTGTAAGAGTGCTCCTAATACCCCAATATGTCCACAGGCAGCAGATAAATGTATGGGTGTTCGTCCTCTGCAGTCTCGTATTGTGGATTTTGCCCCATGCTGAAGCAGTGCTTCTACACACTCCTCATGCCCAGTAACTGCCTGGGAAAAAATTAACATAAAATGTGCATTATGCATATAGGCACTTGCAGACATGAGAAAATAAAAAAGCTGCTCTCTCCAACTAGCTTTCAGCTACTTCACTACAGTTGCCTATTAGCTTTTATATCAATAAAGGAGCAAAGTTAGACAGCTGTGGATATAAAAAGGCAGATGGGGTCTTGTGACTAACCCTGCTCCTTAATTTGTCTTGCTGGACCATGCCTTTAACCAAATGAGATGTCCATGCCCATCCAAGCCAAAATCTAAATGATTATATTCAGGCTGACTTTCCTTATTACACTAAAGCAATTAGACAATGTACAATCAAGTCAAATCACAACTATAAACTAGTTGGTTTGAATTTTTCTCCTAGCTCCAACTCTCTCCAAGTTCTCCAACTCTAGAAATACTTTTGCTTTGAACAAATTTTCTGTCATCAGCACATTGCAAAGAGTTAAGATCTGGAACCCTGACATTCAAGGCATGGAATTGCTTCCAACCAAGTGCCTTAGTAATATATCCTTAAATATTCAGGTTCTTGCCTAATTATAGTTTGCTAAGGGTATCATTTTATTAAATGTAAGTTCTGTTTCTTGAAAATACATTTTCATGTATTGCTTTAGTTCTTTTTCCAGCCTAGGGATACCAAACAGTTTAGATTTAAAGAAAATAAAGAAGCTTTGGGTAACATTCTTATGTTATAAATTATTAATTCTATGAATGGTGAGATTGTGAAATAAAAAACAAAACATATTTGGTGATCTGTTCTATCTCACAGATGCAAACAGTTTTAAGAACAATTTTCTGCATGTTTTGGGATGCCTGCTCTAGAATGAAAACCCTCTGGATCTATTCTTATCTTATCAGTAGCCCCCTAAAAACTAAGCTACCTATTACTGCACTTAAATCCCTGATAGCTGATAGCAAAGAGAGCCTGAAAAAAGAGAAGCCAGAGAAAATATATTCTGTTGTATCAATTGTTATGAAAATATGAAGTTGGATACTGATGGAATATTTCTGAAGAATGATATAATACATTGGAGATACAGAAGAAAAAGCTTAGGAAGGGACACTTCAGGGGTAATGTGAATTACATTATTTTTTTAATTGTAGGAATGAAAAATATAAGATTTATACATTCACTATGAATAATGTAAATAAATACAGTAAACTGGATTTAGACTAAGTTAGTTGCAATACATTTTTACTACAATCAACTGCATTTATAAGTCATGATTTTAATGGGACCAGCTTAGTCTGGATCCAACGTAATATTTCTGTTACCTTAGTTGGAACTGCAGCAATGCTACCTATTGAAGCAAAGAGCAGGGTGGGGGTAGGAGGACACACCTGTTGTCTCTCTTACCCCTCTGTGTAATGCTGTTCTTCCCCATTTATCTTTGGCATCTACATTTGCTCCTTTGTTAAGCAGGGAATAGACACAATCTGTGTGCCCGTTAAGAACAGACAACATCAAAGGAGTCCTGAAAGACAAAGATGATATAATGGAACAGCACAGATATTCTACATTAACAAGCTCATAACCCGCCTAAATGTTGTTAGACCACCAACAGCAAATGTACTTCACATTTAAAGGACAGAAGTCACACCTTTCTCAAAAGGCCTTCTGCTTTTACTACTTGGATGGGAAAGCACTGCAGAATACCAGAGTTATAGACCAGGAAGCTCCAAAACCATCCCAGAAAAAGTAACATCAATCCACTTCTATATGGTTACCAGAATAGTACATGAACATGTCCATGAGATCACTAGGAGTCAAGCTTTTTTTCTATTCCCCCTCCAAAAAAAAGTAGCATGAAAAAGAACTAGGGTCTGCAAGTCACTATACATCCTGTTCATCATATTATCTTCAGTAATAGGAGGGTATTCTGGAACTGTAAAATACCCATTTTTATTTGCAATGTTCTCTAATATAGAGCCTTTGGATCCACGTTCCTCTAGTGTATATAGTCTTTAAAATAAATTCCTAAACAATAAATACCATTTTCTGTGATGTTTTTGTTACAACCACTGGATTGCTTGCCAGATGGTCTGGACCTCTGCCCTACACTGGAGGTTGGAGATTGAATATGGAGATTTGTACATGGCAGCTGTTGGCCCTGAGAATGTGAGGGTCTAGCAAGAGACTGTTGAATGTACATAGGGTGAATGGAAATGCTAGGCTAGGTAGCCTACTATAGTCTACCATATCTTGCAGTTGCTGAATGCTGTAGACAGAACAGTGTAGGGACGTTGCTTTATTGCCTGTTGGTTACTCAGATCGCTGAGAGTTATACTCCAACTAGGCAAGTCCATGCAAGCTGACTGAGGCACTGTCTTGCCCTGTTACCTCGTAAATGTCTGACCCTGTATCTCCTTAATTCCATCAAGGTTATCTTCCTTACTCTGTATAAGAGGTAGCTATGGCCAGAAGGGCCTTTATACAGATTCATCTTTCACCAATTGTGGCTTTTCCTGGACAGGAGTCCCTTCACAAAGTCACACATGCATTAGTCACTTTCTGTATTGACCATGGAACATCCTTGATTACTTTAAGCCAATCATGCCTCCTTTTAATAGTTGTTATGAGGATAAAATTAAGGGAAAGTCTCATTGATGCCACCTCAAACTCTCCCACAAAAGGCAATATACAAACACAATAATAATTATATTTTATAATGTTATTCTACATTTATATAATAATATATAACATTTAATATATTCATATTAATTTTATATAATATTTGATATAACAAACTCATATTAATAAATACATAAAGAAAGGCTATGATACACCTTATAGCTACACAACATAGTTATTTACAATGAATAATCCCACTGTGCAACACCTGTCTCACTTTAGATACAAATATTTGAAACTTACTGTCCATTTCCATCTTGAATGTCCACAGCATTCTGTGGTTCTGCATTTCCAATTAACAACCGCAAGCATTCTGAATGACCATTTGTAGCTGCAAAATACCATCAACAAATAAAACAGTAATCATAAGCACCAAGAACAATTTTGTTTTAAAGAGTTACATCTACTTTTCATAACCTGCTAGCAATTTTGTAACAAGTTGAATATCTTTAAAAAATTATATAGCCACACAAACCCTTGATTTATCTAAAAAATATTCAAGATGTAATAGCTATCATATTGATACATAACTTGTTTTATGAAAAAGTTCAGAGCCTACTAACTGAAATTAAGGGATCACCTCAAATCTGCTCAACCAATGTGCTCTGGCTGTCAGTATGCTTCCAGATGTAATTCAAGATGTTATCACCTACAAAGCCCTACATGGCATACGGCCAAGTTATTTGAGGGACTGCATATCTCCTATGGTTTCTGCCAGTACAAGCTGACCAAGTTGGCATTCTCCAGGGTCCCTTGGTTAAATAGTGCCATCTATAGGGACCCAGGAAGCGTGCCTACTGTGTCACAGTGCCAGCACTCTAGAATGAGGCTCCCCTGAGATCATGTATTTCACTTATACCAAGTGAAATATGGTATAATACAAAGGTTCACTTAGGCATGATTGGGATCTGTAATTATTAATAACCACAATTAAAGAAAAGGACTACTAACTCACTAATTTACAGCTCATTTTAGCGGCAAGGTTTCATACAGAAATTCTTACCTCATGCCTTCATTTCTTTGGCTTGCTATTTCTTACTTCTTTTCTGCGTTTCACATAACATTGCTTACTCCAAAAGGGAATAATATAATGGGTTGTAAAAGGTTTACAACTTTTGCCTGATTTTCATAATCAGGCAAAAGTTTAAACCTTTACCAGCACAGAATGCAATGAAGATTTAAATGGTTTTCCCTTTGACATTTTAATTATTTTGAGACTGCCACCTTGAAAACACAAATTTTAAATAATGCTTCAAGCTGGGAGCACTGTGCTTTCCCTATACTTACACAGGAGATCACTTGAAGGAATTTAGAAACATGAACCAGTCCTGAAATACCACTGCAGTGATATTTAATTTTTTAATTTAATAGTACGCAACAATTTAATAGAAGATGCCCTATTTCTCCCCCCACCCCCACACACAAATATGTGACTATGGCAGCTAGGGCATCATTAAGTTATGAACATCATCATCATCATCATCATCATCATCATCATCATCATTTCGCCACTACTGAGAAATGATTTTAGCACTACATTCCATCTGATAAATATTAAAAATGCTGCACTGTACAGTGATACATAACTTACTCATCAGGAGAATGCAGGCTATTTTCCCTAGGTTTTCCCCAAACATCATAGAAGCAACAGCAACTAAAAGAATACTAGAGGGCTGGGAAAACTTTTAACATCTTTTCAACATCTGTGCTGCACCACTACCAACAGACAAAAAAATGATCTGTACAATGGGGGGAGGAGTTCCAGGCAACTTAAATATTACATGAACTAAATTTAGTTACTTGATATTAATAACTGAATGACAAAAAATTGGATTGGAGACACTGTTTTACAATAGTTGTGCTCCTTCCTCAGCAGTCAGTTCATTAGCAGAGGGGAGAGATCGGCATGGTGGATCACCATAAAAAATCTAAAGACATTATTAAAATTATCACCCTAAACATATGAGCAAAATCAGCAAGCCTGCTCTTTAATATATTATCATTATTTATTTATTTAAAACATTCTAAACTGAAAATATTTGTATAGTGTTGTAAATGTAATCAATAAAGTAAGATTTTCTGCATACAGGCTTACAATTATCACACACACACACACGTTATCTATATAAATTAAAAAAAGGAAAGAACTGTAGAAAATAATACCCAATCACAAATACCTAAAACAACATTTCTTACAGTGACTTGCTGGAATAAAAATTGCTCAGAGAAAGAAGCTTCCATCCGCAAAACATTCTTCCACTATGATATAAAAACTATGTATTTACCAGCAGCATGTATTGGTGTTCTCTTTATAACATAGTCTTTTACTAAGATAGACGCTCCCTGGTTAATAAGTACATCCACACATTCAACATGTCCCTTAAAAGCTGCAAGATCCAAAGGTGTTCTTCCATTATTGTTCCGGACATCAAGATCCAACAAAGACTGTACTAACACTTCCAAAGCTTGGTGATGTCCATGGTAGGCCTAAAAAAAGAGAGAGAGACATTGCTTGTGTCTTAGATATTAGCAAGGTTAAATAATTACTGAACTGAAAATATTAAATCATCCAGAAAAGAGGTGGCTTTAAATAATCCTATATTCAATATTGGATAAACTGAGTACTTACAGCTAAATGCAATGGACTAATTGGTGCCCTGTTGTCTGAATCATTCAGCATGTCAGTCCCTGATGTTTCCATTAACTAAACAAAAATACAGTTGATAATGCAATCAGATGTTTTCAGTTTAACATAAACACCTATTATTCCATCTTACTTAATAGATGACAAGTATTAAGGCTTAGTCTTTAAAATACCAAAGTCTTTGCTAAAAAAAAATCCAAGGTGTTTTTTATACTCATCAGACAGTATATTGGAAACATTACATGACATAGATAAGTAGGTGGGTGGATGGATGGATGGGGTTTCTAGCTATTAAGAGCATAATAACCTTAAGCACTCTGGATTCAGTTCCAAAAAGCTGCTATGTGCATATGGGAATACAAACATGGCACCTCTCTGCAGCTCTTTATAGCAGCCATGTATTTCCCTCCTATTCGACAAGTGCCCTCCACAGCAGCCAGAAAAAGTTAAAGCTGCTTCAAGAGGCTGCAGACGGATACATTTGCATGAATGTGCATTCTGAAGTACTTTTAGTAGAACCATAGATTTTGTTGTTTAATCAAATATTTCTGATTTCTGTATCAGATTTCTGATATCAGATTTCTGAATATTTGTAATAAAGGTTTCCAGAGCAAAGACTGTTGTACTTACAACATCTAAAGGTGTTTCACTGGCAATCTGTAATGAAACCAATTTTAAATACTGGTTAATTCTTAAATGTTAACATTCAAACATTTAAGTTATTCTAACAAATATACAGGAAGTCCTCGCTTAACAACCATTCATTCAGCGACTGTTTGAAGTTACAATAGCACTGGACAAATTGTAGTTATGACCCATCCTCAAAGTTAGGGTAATTTTTGAAGCACCCATTAGAAAGCAAGTAGATCTATAATGCAGCTGGGGTATAACCATAACTGTATTTTTCTTTTTAAAAAGCATGCAGATTCTAACTTAAAATGTTTATGAAAATAGCCACATATACAATAATATACTTTACAGATATTGTTTACTCATTTCATCAAATCTTTAATATAATCTCTTATCTTGAAAGGAAACATTAAAATATGACTGTAATTAAACCAGGCTTCATGCTGCTTAGGGTTCAAATAAGGGTTATGTGGTTCCAAGGAAATAGCACAGAAGGTTCAAAAGCTTCTGATACAGTAAAATGACCTGGAATCCATATGCATAGTAAAGCTTTCCAATTTGGGTTGAACTTTTCAAAACTCAGTAGTAAGCCTCTATTCTTTTTATTAGTTTAATTATCCTAATTTTTCTTCTGCATTTTTAAAAATAGTTTACCAAATTTTACTTCTAAAACAGAGTTTTCACTACTTATTTCTAAACATAATTCACATTTATTTGTCCTACCAATTCAAGGCATAAACGATGTCCATAAGCAGCAGCATAATGAACTGCATTGTAACCATGCTTGTCTCGAATCCCTGGGTTTGCATCATTTCGAAGTAGGTATTTCAGGCACCTAAACAAAATAAATAGAATTTTAACATATTTATTCAATGGGAAAGGAGCAGCCTAACGTGAAATAGTCACTTTTGAATCTTCTCCCATACCCAAATGATTATGTTGTCAAATATGGCAAAGACTTGTACTGCTGGGGATCCTGATCTAGTTCCAACTAGAATAGTATTTTCTCACAGGGTTTCTGGATCTCTGAAGGGGTGATATGCTGAAGCTTGCTTTCTTGTATGTATTACTATGCTCCCTACATTCTAAAAGATCTAATCCAGTGTTTTTCAAAGTTAGCAACTTTAAATTATGTGGACTTCAACTTCCAGAATGCTGGCTGGGGAATTCTGGGGAGCTGAAGTCCACACATCTTAAAGTTGCCAACTTTGAAAAACACTGATCTAGTTTCCTTTTACAATTATCAGCAATAGATTTTATATGAAAATAAGGACACATGTTACATTACAATTTGTACAGATCCTTTTCACAAAGAATTCTCTAACTAAAAGAGAATTCAGCAATCAGTAGACTACCAGTCAATTGTGATTCACAGAACTCCAGCAAGGATGGTCCATGCAGCAGGGGAGACACTGTAATAACAATATCAACATGCCATATAGCCGTCTACATAACTATATTCTATGTTACATTTTTAATTGCAAATTATTTGTTCCTGTAAATGTAATGTTCTTTGAATTTAAATAATGTGCATGTGTGTGTCATCAATATGAACCAAAGTTTTTTGCACCTTCAGCAGTTACAATACCGGTATCTAAAAACAAATAGCCCACAAAAGTTTCCAAGACATCTACATAAAAAAAAAAAAAAAAGCTTGGAAACTGCTGCAGTAGAGTGAAGCGAACAGACCTTTGCTTCCACCCTGTTCTCTGTTACTGAAAACTATGAGCAGTATAACTACATTGGCAAAAAAGCTACTACTAATTATATCAGTAATATGGTTTGATTACCAAACTATGCTGCTTTTTCCAGTTTGGTCCCTTTTAGATGCTACTGCAATTCAGATCACATGTGGCAGCAATCCTGACTGAGAATCATAGAAACTATTGACCAGCACAGTTTGAGAGGAGACAAGGTTGAATAAGATTTATCTTTGTTTCAGTTACAAATTTGTTCACCTTTGTATATTATATTTTACAATGAGAGTCTTAACAAAAAATTAGTTAAACACTGGAATATTTTTTTTCTTAATATGAGTCATTTACTTCAATAGGAATAATTGGGTTCTCTTTCTTTTTGGTAACATCTTAGCGCTGTGTATTCACATAGATTGAATATGCAGGAGAATAACATTCCAATTATCATAACAGACTGCTCTCTTATAAAGTCTCTATTTGTCTTTTAAAAATAATCTGTCAAGAAACATGATTCTGCTATTTGGAAGGAAAATATTACTGGATTGTAGCATATAGGTAATACAGATGACGTTGAATATTTATAGCAAATCATATTACAAATCATATTACATCTCTGCTCTACGAGTTGCATTGGTTGCCAGTTTGCCTCTGGGTCCAATTCAAGGTGCTGTTTTTGACCTTTAAAGTCCTTCATGGCATGGGGCCAGGTTATCTGAGGGACTGCCTCTCCCTGATTACATCTGCTGGTCCCGTCAGGTCTGGCAGAGAAGGTATGCTGTGGGTCCCACCTGTCAGGGTATTACATTTGGTGGGTCCCAGGAGGCAGGCCTTGTCTGTACTGGCACCTGCCTTGTGGAATCTTCTCCCCCCGGAAGTGAGGTTAATCCCATTCCACAAATCCCTCAAGACCTGGCTATGTGATCAGGCCTGGGGGTCCCAGGGGACCAGGGAAATTTTGCTATGGCTCCCTTACTATGGTTAACATCATCCTCTCCTGTTTTGTGTGTGTTTTCATAGTTTTTAATGATTGTTTTATATGTATTTATTGGTTCTTGTAAGATGGGTGGCTATACAAATATGATCAATAAATAAATACTTATTTTTAGTTCAAAGAAAATTTAGAGTTGAATCAGGTCTGTCCAAGTAAGAAAGTATAGGAATGAATCCTATCATTTCAAAAAGAGTGCCATACTTACTTTCCATCAGTGTCTGATGCAGCTGCATAGTGTAGTGGTGTACAACCTCTTTCATCAAGGTCATTTACACTAGCTCCAGAACCCACAAGGGCAAACAGACACTTGTAATTACAGTTGGCAGCAGCGTAGTGGAGTGGAGCTCTGTAGTATATATATATTTTTAAAAAAACAGAAATATGTACAGTGTTATACACTGAAAAAATTACCTCTGATGCATGACTAGCTAATAAACGTTTCTCTAATTCTTCTTTTCTGGATGTCTCTTACTCAGAGAGTATTTTAATCAAATACATGTTTTACACCAATTAGTACTATCTAACTCCTACTAATGGATTTTTTTTTACTGAGTATAGTGCGTGTGTATGCATATCATTTATATATACAGCTAAAATACATTAGTATTTTAGGTATGCTGTGGGGACTTTTCATAGGTCCTAATACAGAGGACACAACCAGTATGGAGTACAAAGCTTTCATTTACTTTCACAATGAGCTGAGTGAGAAGATACTGTTGACCTGATTTTTGGATCAGTACTGATAAACCTTTAGTGCTGAATCTAATGCCATAAAGCAGAATTCAATCAGAAGCATTGTTTAGGGTAAGAAAAAAAAAAGGGATTTTTTTTACTTTTGAACTCTACCAAGAATATGTCTTCTAATGACCACTTCACCTGTGGAATCAAGTTTGATCAAACAAAAGTTAAAATTACATACTCATCAGTAAGGTTGAGACTGAAGTACAAATATCAGTAATTAATTTCTCCATAAATAAAGATCTCTCAGTTTCTCCTTTAAATAGTATCACTGATAGAACAATTATGACAAGATGAAATTATTCTAAAATTTACTGACAACTGTCAGAATTACTATCATTTATTAAATGCCAATAAATATTGAACTTTTTCAATTGCAGTTTTGCTCTCCAACTTAGTATTTTAACAGCCTTTGTTACTCTTAGCTACAATATTCTTCTGTATCATCACCAAGGATTGGTGATAGGGAGCACTGATATGTAATAATTCCGCTTTTGTGAGGCAATTTTGAAAGTAATATTGGGTAACAGCAGTTAAGCTATGAATGCCACAGAGTACTATTTCCCACCAATGCTATTTAACATCTACTATATATGGAGCTTCTGGGATTTTAGGAAAAAGTATGGCTGGTATGCTCATGATATCCAGCTCTGTAACTTGTAAAACATGGAAATCATGAGGATGTACATCTCTGAACTATTGTCTAGACAGAGTGATGGCCTGGTAAGAGCTAAGACACCAAATATGACTCCTGACAACACCACGGTTGTATTTATATATGCTGCTAAGCTAGGATTCCTTTAGCCACAATTTACTAAATAAGCTGAATGGGTAAGTATGTGTATTGTTTAAAGCAATAAAATACTATAACTTAGCATGATGTTTGAACAAGGCTAAGGACAGCCTTCAAAATACTGGTTCTCACTTTTAAAGTCCTACATAGCTCTGGGCCTGGTTATCTGTAGGACTGCCTTCTCCCATATTCATCTGCCTGTCCAAACTGATCACATAGGATTAAGTCCTTCCAGGTCCCATCTATCCAAGAATGCCATTTCACAGAACTTAGAAAATAGATGTTTTTGATCATTGCCCCGATGCTTTAGAATTCTTTCCCTACGGAAATCCGGTCTAACTCTTCCCTCTTACATTTCAGGAGAGCAGACCTGGCTTTTCTATCTAGCCAAGGAGAAAGACACGTGCTGGCAGATATATGACTATATTTTTTGTATCCTTTATGATTCTATTATGATTCTTATGATTATGATTTCAGTGGGTCTATTTTTGTTGAAATGTTCTTTTTATGATGTTTCTGACTGTTAGCCACTCAGAGCCTTTAGCAATAAGCAGCATGCAAATATAATAAGTGAGTGAGTGAGTAAATAAATAAAGTGCCTACACCACCTTTGGCTGGTATAGCAACAATATTCCTTTTTGGGCAGCAATAACGTGACTGCCTTCATAGTTTAAACATAAACAGCCTCCTGCTTATACCACCATATGTATCTTTATGCAGAGCTACCCTTGTGTAATTCTCTCTTACCTTCCAAATTTGTCTTTTTTATTGAAATCTGCACCTGTGTTGAGCAGCAGATTGAGGCACTCCAAATTTCTGAAAGATGAATCAAATGTTAATATCTGATTATTCTTTTTAAGAATGACATGTCCTTTGACTCTGTCTTTAATTACTGCAAATAATCTTTTAATAAAATAGCACTATAAATTCTCTAGTAATTTAGATTTCCTATACACAATTACATCTCCATGTGTTTATGCCAACAATGTTAATAAGTGATATATAAATCCTCTAACAGAATTAATGTTATGCTTTATATGAATATACATACTCTCAAATCCAAAATGTAAAACTTAAACTACAAAGATACATACCCTCCAGCGGCAGCTGCATGAAGGCAGGTCCTGCCAAAGTCATCTGAAGTATCTATTTCAAAGCCTATGAAAGAAGGATTTTGTGAAACTGATAAAATTCATCAACTTTGTCAATTTGACAGAACATGCCATGAAGCAATCCTCCTTATGCGTACTTGACTATAGAAAGATAACAAATACCAACAGTATGTTTAGTTAATATGTGAAAAGTGATTTTAATCTTAGTTTTGAGAAACCAATAATTTACCTTTTAAGACAGAATACTAAGCTATGGCCCAGTGTAATGTTGAAGAGGCTACAAATACACAGTTCTGTCTATCCCTTTCTTAGCAAAAGCCAGGAGATCAAGATTTTATTTTTATACTGAAGTAGAGACCTGTGCTAAATGCAAACTTGGAGAATGGAAAATCAGTATAATGTATAGTTTACCTAAATAAAACAAAACTGATTTATGTCTCTGTCTTGTTTACTAATCATAATTCATTCATAGGATTAGAATTGCCTGAGTTGATATAAACAAGATGTGTACCTAGACTGAAATTGGAAACAATTTCTTTTTATATCCTTCATGTACCACTGAATTGATCAGAAATAAAATAATCTTTTCAGATACCTCTTCTATTCAAAGTCTTGTATTTTATGAAATCAGGAAGGTATTACGTTAATTTCTAGTTTAAACCTCTCTTAATCTGAACTTTTATTAAAGAGCTATAAGATTTTAAACTGTACAATAGTTCTCAAGAAGAAATGCTTAGATCATATATTCACATCAGTTAAATGTGAAAGTGCTTCAAAAATTAAACAAAGAAAGTATATCTGTATTTAATTCTTGTCCTATCAAGGGATTAAAATAAAAATAATACACAATAATGGACAGGAGCAAGAAAATAGGAAATAGTTCTTTTTGCTATTTAAAAATGATATTACAGATTAGACATTTTTCCTATAGCAATGTTGAAAATAAAGTGGTACAGACCTGGTGAGAGGAAACTGGGAATCCTGGGCCACTCTCTTTAACCCCAATTGGTTAAGCTAATAATATTGTAAGCAAACTTGTAACACTTGTTAAGTGTCTACCACCATTCTATTCCTTCCTCCCAGCACCAAATTTGATAAAAAAACTACTTAGTAGTTTCCTTTCATGGAAATTACTCTATAGTAGTTTCATTATGAAATAGAAACTATAGTTGTTTCTTTTATCTAGGGAAAAAAACCCCAGAATTTAGTTTAAAAACAGTCCATCAATTTAATTGTAGATGGCACGTACAGTCAAGTTAAAAAGTACACCCTACTGAAATTTTTGGCTTTTTCAACAAATATCAAAGTACAGATATTTGATCTTCATTTCAACAATACTGATAGATAAAGGGGATATAACAAATATCATGCACCATTTACTTTTTGTAATAAACATAAATGCACATTTCGTATGTGGAAAAAGTAAGTACATCCCTACATTTATCACTACCTCAAATACCTAAAATTAGAATTAGGTGCACCAGATCAGGAGCAAACATTGTTAGAGAGGATCTGGGAGGAATCTGTCTTATTTAAACCTCAGATGTTTACTTTGATATGCTCTTTGTTGTTGAAGTGTGTGGTATCACCATACCTAGATTGAAAGAGCTCTTTGAGAGCTTCAGAAAGAAGTTTATAGATGCCTATGAGTCTGGGAAGGGATTTAAAAAGATTGCCAAATAATTGGGCATCAATCATTCCACTGTCCAGAAGATTATCTACAAGTGGAGATTTCAAATACCTTCCAACTTGCCCAGGACAGGCCATCCCAGCAAGTTCAGCCCAAGAGCAGAATGCAAGATGCTGAAAGAAGTCTCTAAGAACCACAGAATTTCATCACTTGACCCACAGGTAGCTCTTGCCACTACTGATGTCAAAGTGCATGAGTCTACCATTAGAAAGAAGCTGCACAAATTAGATCTACATGAGAGGTGTGCCAGGAGGAAACCTTTGCTGTCCTGAAAGAACATCAGAGCAAGGCTGAAATTTGCTCATGAACATCTAAGCAAAGACCAGGACTTCTGAAACAATGTGCCCTGGACAGATGAGGTAAAGAAAGAGTTATCTGGCCACAGTACCAAAAGACATGTTTGGTGAAAAGCAAAGATGGCATTTTATCAGAAGAACCTGAGACCTTAAAGCCTGGTAGTAGAAATGTTTGGGGCTGCTTTGCTGCATCAAAGCTTGGGCAGCTCACCATCATAGAATCCTCTATGAATTCATCATTGCACCAGAAGTTACTTGAGGATAATATGGGACCATCTGTCAGAGGACTGAAAGTGGGCCTTGCTGCATGACAATGATCCTAAACATTCCAGTAAATCCACCAAGGAATGGCTGAATAAAAGAAATAAAGGGTTCTGGAACGGCCAAGTCAAAGCCCAGATCTAAATCCCACTGAGATGCTGTGATGATTTGAAACAGGCTCCGAGTGCAAGAAATCCCTCAAACATTGCACAACTGAAAAAATTCTGCATTGGAGGAATGGGAAAAAAATTCCCCCTAGTTGATGTCAGAGACTGGCAGACAGTTACAAGAAATGTCTACTTGAGGTTGTTTCTGCCAAAGAGGGCAATGCCAGATATTAGAGCCAAAAGTGTATTTACTTTTTCCACAGAATGAAATGGCATATATGTTAATTTTTTGTTGAATAAATGATTGCAAAGTCAATTTTTCATAATTTTTTTGTTCAATTACATCACCTTTATTTCTTTATCCTGTCCAAATGAAGGTGAAATATTTATATGTTCACATATGTTAAAAAAGTGTAATTACTCTTTCATGACTGTATCGTTTAGGGTAGTGTGAACTTGCGAATTATTTGAATACTTCCCTCCTTCTTTTGTATGAAGGGCTCAGTTCATTATTTCCTACTTTAATCAGGCTGTACCTTGCCATTGTGGCTGAATTATGGATTGAGGTCAGGAGAGAACTCAGCTAAGCTCTTAAAAATAAGAACAGCATAAGGTGAATCCCACCACCTTCCCAAGAAATTTTTATCACAGCAAAAGCACAGCAAGACAGCTGACCTCTGCCTTCAGTTTGAGTATAAACTTGCTGCTATGTCTGATAGGCAACCTGACCTCTGAATTCCTATCACTTGCAGAGGCAAAGTCAACTGAGCCACTTTCACATTCCGTTCCCAGCTCTGAACTGCAGTATAAGTATATGACATTGCCTCTCTGCTCAATGGGTATGCTGACTGCCTAGCAAGCAAAAAGGCAAAGCAAATCTTTGACCTTTCCTCTAGGTCAAGTTGTTGGACAGAAAGCTTTGTTTATGCACTACACAGAATCCTTCTCTAAGCTTAGGAAACAGCAGGAATTCTCCAGATCTTACACTGCATTTTAGATTTACAACAAAAAATTAGGGACATGATTCTATCTCTTGAGAAGGCAGAAACCTGGTACCAGCAAATACTTGGGCAGCAAGACCAAGCTCCTATTTTAGACACTCTTTCAAAGCAGGATTGCAAAACAGGAACGAACAATGCTTTATAATCCAGGAAACAAATTTTATAAATAAATGCATATGAAAGCTAACGACTGTTTGATTAAAACAGAAAGCTTTGGATAGAGAATGAAGAGGAAGAAGAGTTTTCTATGATCAAAGCACTACTTCAAAACCTTCTAAACCACTTCTTACAACCATCCTATATATATTAAATACATTTCTGGATATAATGTATGTTACTAAATCAGAGATGTCATCTCTTTAATTATAATTTCATACCCTAATTTTCATTGTTTATATTCCCATAGTAACTCAGAATATTCACATGATTAGGAAAAAAGAGAACACCAAATATGTGATTCCTAAAAATTAATGTTAAGTTTGTTCTTAACACTATAGTGGATTAAGTATTAATCCACTATATTAAGGATTAAGGATTAATACAGTGGAGAAGTAGAACATACTGACCAAAGACATTAATATCATGCTGTATTGGGGAGCAGCTGGCCCTTTCAATCAAAAGACAATCTTATCAGAGGCAGTCACCTGATCCCTGAGGACCAATAAAGGAAAGGAACAGGATTCTGGCAGATTCTGGCAGGAAGAGTTTTGGGCATCTTTTTTGAGGGAGTTTGCTCGTCCTCAGAGTTCCCTCAGAGTTCCCTCAGGCAAGGTTGAAAGTTATTTAGCTATAGTTAGAATTGTGTTAGGGTATTTTGTATTCAAACTGTATGTTTTATGTGTGGAAACTTATTTTCTTTTGACATTTTTAATAAAGTTGATTTTTGTTTCAATCTGGAATTGACTGGTTACCTTCTATTGCCTGCCTCAACTTGGCTGAGCAACTGATTCCTGAAGTTTTTGTTTTTCTTTTCCTTTTTGTATTTAGCCAGACCCAGGATGGGGCAAGGATTTCCCTTTTAATCCTCTCCTGGTTCCCCAGAGGGCTGGGTGTGAATGGGAGAAACCCTGAGAGTGCCATGTTCCCTTATTACACGTGCATTTGTTTAACCAATTTTTTTAAAAAACACTATCTGAAAACCGTAATTTGCAAACCGAGTTATATTTTTAAAAACCATATCACAAATAAGCCGTATTTTCTTACTGTTGATATGTACATTATGGAGCAGACTCTCCTCATTAAGAACAGCTATATACCCCAAGGAGACTGAATTTCACAATGCATGAACACTGTTCTCTTGTAATATGAACAATTTTGTACAAAGTTTGCTTGGTACAGAAAATTGAAACTAGCCTTTCTTAGTAATAAAAGTAGAACTTAAAGGAATAGTCATTCCAAATTCTCAAATATGTTTTAGCTGTTTTAGTTTTCAATGATAGCCTGATGTAGAAATTAGCATGCAAATTTAATTAAAGCTAGCTCTTGGTGTCAGGTTCAGCCCAAGAACAACAATGAAGCAGTCCAGTCCAGTGTAGTTCCTTTATTTGCTTACACACTATAGACAGAATCTCGCCAGACTAAACCTATCCAAAAGCTACTAGTGGATATACCCTGTGGGAGTCTAGGGAAGGGCTAGCCTCAGCCTCTTCTTCTCACGGCCCTGCTGCAGGCTGAGAAAGTGCTTGCCTTGCCCCTTCCTCTGGAATGCACCCCCTCCCTCCTGATAGCCTTGATCTCTCACACCAGTCTCCTCCTCGCCTATGCCTTCCATTACATCTAGATTCAAATCTTCAAATTTTACTCCGGCTCACAAAAGATTTCCCTTAAAAATACTGACAAAAGAAGAATTTAGATGTAGACAGCAAATGTTCAGAAATGTTAGGTATAAAGTGCTCCAATAATCATTTGAACAATCCACAGATTAAATTTCACTTTTTTTGAATTTGCAGTAGTATTAATATGAGATCGATTGAGTGATTAAAAATAAAGCAATAACTAACAGCTGATACACCATCATTTGGAGATAGCCATGTTTTTACTACTCTTGTAAAATGTAATAGACAGGGGATCACCCAGGTATCCAGAGGTACACTGTACCTAAGGGGGGAGTCATTACTGAAGGAGTCCTATATAATATCATAACAAGAATAACAGATGATGCAAGAATTGTGTTACCAGATATCTGAACAGGCAAAGGAGAACATGGACAATTGGAAAGGAGACAAATGGGGGGGAATGGAGATCACACTATTTAACTTTCTTGGCATCTGTGATGAAAATTACAGCAAAAAACTGCAAAAAAAAATGTACTTAGACCTACATGTATATGAAATTACTTTTTCAGCATCCAAAAGACTGGTTTTTCAATTGCAGTATTTTCCCAAATCTTTATTTTCAAGAACACATGCTAGTGATAATATAGAATCAAAACACACTTTTCAAATTTCACCACAGAAACCTATGACAAGTCATATCATCTGCTGACTACGGTGATCATTGACCATACTGTGATCACTGGACCATAGAAGGGTTGGATTGAAACTGATCACTGGAATCAGGAAATAAATTAAGTAACATAAATCTAGGCTGTCAAATCTGTTGATGAACAAGGGAAAGAAAGAAGGAGACAATTTACAGGGTCACAATACACAAAAGTTTGAATGACCACTGTTGTGAAAACAGTCCAAAATAAAACATTTAAAAAACAAACAAAAATAAAACAAAAAGATAATTAAAAAGCTGGAGAATAGTTGATTTTAAGGCTATGCCTGACAGATGGAAGACATGAGAACAAAAAGGAGGACATGTCCACTTTTTGCCAGACATCTGAAAACCATATGGAAGGATCAAATGAATGGTGTAAGAAAGCATATGGAGAGACTAGGAATTCTTTTTTGGTGTATTTAGAATACAGATTTATTTCCCCTCTATGGCTGCTACATTTGGGATTGATAATACAATATAGGCTTTTAGAATGTCTTATAATAATATAGGCAATGTTACTTCTTAGACTGCAACACTGCTCTTATTACGGTAACATATTCTAAAACCTATCCTGTATTATCAATATAATACAATACATAGCCTTTGAGCTAAGATCAAGTGTGTATGTGTGTTACAGACTGTATTAGGCAATGACACATTGCAAGAAACAGATTCACATGATTTGCATTATTTCAAATTTCTTCCCTTAATATTTACCAAAACAAGCAGGCACCTATATTGGGCAGCAGCGATACAGGAAAATGTTGGAGGCAAACGACCCCTTTAGTGACAGTGGCAAACGCATCAATTCATACTGCATGGGAGAAGGCAATGATAAATCACTCCTGCATTTTTGCCAATAAAATCACATGGATGGAAAATATACAATGATTGACAATATAGTGCCGAATGATGGGCCCCTCAGGTCAAATAGCACTCAACGTGCTACTAGGGAAAGGCTGAGGATCTTTCAGAATACTAATGGTGTTTATGACATGGCTAGATTAAAGCCTTCAGGATATTTAGTTGCAGATGTTGCCATACTGGAAAAGAAAATCCAAAGCTGCAAAGGCAGAATTATGGTGGGAACATGCAATGTAAGAAGCATGAACATGGGAAAGCTCAACACTGTGAAAGATTAAATGACTACATAGTGACATCTTAAGCATCAGCAAATTGAGATGGATTGGGATTGGATACTTTCATTCAGAAGCTCATACTGTTTACTACTCAGGACATGAAAAAGGAACAGTACTGCTTTTATCGCTAGGAAGGGTATAGCAAGAACAGTAATTGGCCTTTGATTCTGTAGATCAGGTCAAGCTGTGGAATGTGCTTAGAAAAAATGGGAATCCCAGAACATCTCAGTGTCCTCATGAGAAACTTGTACACAGGTCAGAAAGCCACAGTATGGACAGAACATGGAGAAACAGACTGGCTCCAGGTTGGCAAAGGAGTAAGACAAGCTTATATACTCTCCCCTTACTTATTCAACCTGCATGCTGAATATATATTAAGAGAAGTTGGATTGGAAAAAGCTGAGCATAGTTTTAAAACTAGAGGAAGAAACATCAATAACCTACACTATGCTGATTACACTACTCTGATAGCTGAAAATGCAAATGACCTCCAAACTTTAGTAATAAAAGTCAAGAAGCACAGTGAAAAAATGGGTTTAAAATTAAATACAAAGAAGACCAAACTAATGACAACAGGTACAACAACCAGCCTTAGAACTGACAGTGACAATACTGAAGTGGTGGATGGCTTCTTCCTTTTAGGATCAACCATCAACAGTAAAGGAACAAATAGTTAAGAAATATGTCGCAGACTAGCACTTGGTAGAATAGCAATGAAGACCTTGGAAAAGATATCAAGATGCTGTGATGCTATATCTATAAAAATCAGAATAGTGCAAGCAACAGTATTCCTTGTGACATTCTATGGAAGTGAAAACAGGACTTTGAAGAAGCAGGACTGAAAGACTATTGATGCTTTTGAACTCTGGTGTTGGAGAAGACTCCTGCAAATGCTATGGACAGCCAAGAAAACAAACACATGGATCATTGAACAAATCAATCCAGAGTTCTCACTTGAGGCACAAATGACTAGGCTCAAATTATCCTACTTAGCACATGTTATGTGAAGACCTGCTCTCTGGGGAAGGCTCTAATGCTGGGAAAGATGGAAGGAAAGGGAAGAATAAGACCATCAGCAGCAAGATCAATGGACTCAATTACAATGACAATGGGTGCACTGTTGGAAGACCTGAAAGACCAGGTTAGAGACAGGTTATCATGGAGAAAATCTGTTTACATAGTTGCTGAGAGTCAACACTGACTTGATGGCACATAATCAATCCATGTTTACCATTCTGCAAATGATGTAACATCACACAAATTTGGGATTATTTATTTTTGCATACACATGATGGCTTATAACCATTATACTCATTAAGGCTTTAAAGAAGTAAGTTGACAAAACTCTAGTAGAATTCGCAATATTTTAGATAAAGTTACATGACTTGCTCATGCTCTAAAAAGTAAAAATGCCTTGATTACTACCACTATTTATTACTATTATCTAACAGAAACTACTATTAACACAATCTATTACTAGGCTAATAGATAACTACAATAGATTTGTGTATAAAGTATTTTAATCCAGTCAAGAATCATGCTGCTTACTGCATTAGTAACACATTTTAACTGTTCAAAATGTATTATATGAGAATACATCAAATCTATCTTCCTTTTAAGCATACATCTCATGAATGTTGTTCCCAAAATGCCTGTTATGTGAATAGAAGGCATTTTTGTTAAAAACAGTGTTTCCCAACCTGTATGGCCAGTGCAAAGAAATGTGGACTTGAAGTCTACACATCTCCAAGTTGCCCAGATTGGGAAACACTGGTTTCGAGGAACTGTTAAGAGAGAACTCAGATATTGTTCCCCTTAGCCTCAAGCTTCCATCTCTTACTTTAGGTTGCAAGTTTCAACGGATCTCCTCATCCTGTCTCAGGAGTGGCTTTTCCAGAGTCATGGGATGCTGAAACAGGATGGAGACACAAGTCCTGTTCTGCAGTGTATGAGTGTCAGAGCTGATTTTTTTTTTTTTTAATCCACACTCAATTGTGACCGATTCTGCAACGACTGCCTGGACGAGTCCCTGCAGTTTTCAAGGCAAGGTGTTTTGGAAGTGGTTTGCCAT